GGCCATTCCTGGCAGGAGGAACTTCTCAGGCCAAGGAGGGAAGGTGGGAAGGAGGATGCCCCTTCCCATGATGGGGCAGGAGAGGAGGCTGCTGCCTTTCGAAGGCCTTTGATCAACTACTGTCTTATTCTATTCTTACCTCTCCTGCACTTGAAGAGAGGCCAGGCGCGGATCCTTTACACCCACTAATCCTTCCCTATTTCCTCAGTGCAAAATGGGGATCAAAACCCCTGGCTCCCCAGGCCGTCATGCTTCAGGAACGGGGTCTGGCAAACACTGTTGGGATCTGAATCGTGGGGGTGGAGAGTAGGGAGAAGAAAGAGCTCGGGACAGAAGAAGCAGAGAAGGGGCTGGCAGGCCCAGGAGGGGCCTGGCCACTGGTCAGGCAACAGAACCCCAGGAGAGGAAGTGGGGCTTCAGCCAGGCCAGCCCGAGGTGGGGAGACCCTTAGGCTGGTTGGGGATGGAACAGGTCAGACCAGAGCCACAGGCAACCTCCTTGTCTCCCCTCCACCTAACTCACCCATCCTTTATTTATTTATATATTTATTTATTTATTTATTTTGGCGGTACGCGGGCCTCTCACTGCTGTGGCCTCTCCCGTTGCGGAGCACAGGCTCCGGACGCGCAGGCTCAGCGGCCATGGCTCACGGGCCCAGCCGCTCCGCGGCACGTGGGATCCTCCAGGACCGGGGCGCGAACCCGTGTCCCCTGCATCGGCAGGTGGACTCCCAGCCACTGCGCCACCAGGGAAGCCCCCACCTATCCTTTATTGAACACCTACCGTATACCTGGCCTTAGGCCATGTACTGTGCAGTGAAGTGGAAACAAAGTGTCACCTTTTTTTCAAGCGTCACCGAGTGCCAGGCCCAGGGTAGGACAGGTCTCTTGAACTCTTTGCCAACTCGCAACAACCTGGCAAGGCAGCAGTTATCAGCCCCACGTTGCTACAAAGGAAACTGAGGTTCAGAGAGGTCAAGTGACTTGCCTGAGGTCACACAGATGGCAAGAAGTGGCACAGCCAAGATTAGAGGGGTAGACACAGATGGGTCCATCCTGAGCCCCTTGCTCCCTCCACCCACCATGTCGTTCCTGCAGTCTGCCCTGGAGCAGAGGGTTAGAGAGAGAGAAAGGGGAGGAGGGAGAGAGGCCGAGGCAGAGAAAGGCACATAAGAGACAGAGCTCAGAGCTCCGAGCCGGAGGCCAGAGCCAGAGAAGGCATCAAAGGCCTGGGGCGGACCATGTGTGCACTTGGCAGCCGATGACAGGACCCAGGCGCTCATTCCCAGCAGGCCCAGCCTCCTGGGGCCACTGCCCTGAGCCCCTGAGGCTCTGAGCAGATTGCTTAGACACTCCAGGCCTGGGTTGCAGTGCCTGGGGGACCTCAGGCCCGGGGGGGAGGTAGGGGGGTGGCGCCGGGGCTTTGGCACGGGGTGGCCATGACAGCTTGGCATCCTCCACCCTGCTGGGCCATGGCTTAGGCTGACAGGGCCCTGGGGCCAGCAGGCCGGATGTCTGCTGGGCACACTGCGGAGCTGCCCAACACTGTCCTCCAACCCAGTCCACGCCCCATTCAGCAGGGTGGTGCTGGGGCCCGGGCTGGGGCACCGGCAAGGCGGCTTGTCAAGGCTGGGGCCGTTCTGTGGCGGTGCAGTCGGGGCCTGGTCTGCACCAGGATTGTCTGTTGCCATGACTACGTGCAGGCTGGGTCTGGGGCCCTGAATCACAGTATTCCCCGGTGAGAGCTTCACTGGTCCGTGGGGGCTGAACTCGTGATCTGAGCTGGGCAGACAGCCCCTGGACTGGCCAGTGAATTAGCTTTTCCTTAGGAAACTATTCACTTTGCTCATTCATGGTGTCCCCCTCTGGGCCCCGGCGCCTCCTTAGACAGCTCTGTGTCAGACAGCCAGAGCACCACCCAACCACTGCTGCCCGGTGGCTGAGGACGCGGACCTCACGCCGTCCTCTCAGCGTGGGAATGGCTGCACTTTTGTCGGCAGCAGCCACAATTCCTTACCGCTCCCTGTCACAGTCCGGCCTGCCCTCACACAACTCTGGCCCCCTCCCGTGCCACTCAGGGCTGGAGAGGCTTGGCTGCCCAGCAAAAGGTGCTCAGACCCAGCCCCATGCCAGGCTCTCTCCAGGTAATGCAGTGCAAACCGTTATGCTCAGAGGAGTAGCCTGGCTTTGAATCCAGGCTCGATCTCTTTCCACCTGTGTGACTCCCCGCACATCCCTTAACCTCTCTGAGCCTGACTTCACATCTGTTAACATGAAGATAATAATCCCTGCCCTTCCAACCTCACCAGGCCATTCTGAGGAGCATGAATGGGAAAATGTTTTGTAAACATTATTTGCTTAGTCAACCTAAATTGCTTTGCAGACAGCAGTATTATCACCATCATTATCTTTATCGTTAGCATGCTTTTATTCATTCTGGCTAATGAGGATCTCTACCTACTTCATTCCAGGGGTCCCAGGGGCTGTTCCTGGTGGAGTGCCTGGAGGCGTCTTCTACCCAGGTAACGTACATGAAATTGTCACACTCCCAGGTAAGACAGATGGTGATTACATTTGCAAGAGATGCACATTGTGACACTGTGGAAGGGAAGAACATTGGCGCACCTACCCCAGAGGACCCATAAGTTACTCCTATTTTAAAAAGCAGTTACATGATGCTATTTTACAACTATTAAGAGCACAAATTTTCTGAGAGATGAAACGCAATGCTTGTGAGACTGTCGGAAAGTGGCCGCCTCACCGATCCCTGCTGTTTTAGTCTTCGAACCATTCACCTCACTCTTGGAAACCCATTCAAAGGAAATAATTGAAAAGAAGAGAAAAAGAACCATCTGCCCCAAGGTTCGTAGGAATGTTCCTTGCAAAAATGCAAACAAGAAACCCACCTGACTGGAGGGTGTGATTAAATAAACCTATATGATGCAACTACTAAAAATTATGAATATGCTATCTGTCAGGTAACATGGTAAAGTGATTTTCAAGTAAAAACAACATAAAAGCAAGGACTAGGTGCAGATGGAGATTGGGCCCCCTCCAAAAAAAGAAAATGGGCAGAATATTAACTCAATGGCATGGGGGGGGCGGGGGGCGTAGTTTCTTTTTTTAACATCTTTATTAGACTATAATTGCTTTACAATTTTTCTTTTAATTTAGAAACCAGCATAATGTCTTAAAGTAGATTGAAACATCAAAACTAATATTTTCAATACTTACAAAGTGTCTGAGTGTTCAGAACCAACATGGAAGTGAGGGCAGCTACCAGCACACTCCCAGGTACACACAGGCACACAGCTGTTTCCCCGATGAGATGCATGAGGAAACAGAGGCTCACAGAGGTCAAGGCTGGCCCGAGGTCATATGGCTAGGCAGCGGTGGATTTGACCAGGGTCAATGGATGGCTTCCTGGCAGGGGCCCTGATGGTCCCCTCTCTCTCTCTCTCTCTCTCTCTCTCTCTCTCTCTCTCTCTCCCCTCAACACAGGCGCTGGTCTCGGAGGCCTGGGAGTAGGAGGTGAGCTCAGACACCAAACTTGGTTCCTCAGCGATGGGGTCTCGGTCTCGCTCTAGTCCACATACATGCTCAGACCTCAGAACCTCAGTAGGCCCAGACATCAAGGGACCCCTCATTTCACAGACCGAGCATCCAGTGGGGAGGGATTTGTCTAAGAACTAGAACTCACGAGTCCCCTAAGGCCCTCCCCCTGGCCTC